CAAGAAAAAATGCTTGTATCCACTCTCTTCACCGTCACTCTTTTACAGACAGTTAGTGCATCAATAGTATGGAAAGCCAACATACATATTGTCAACAATTACATACAACCAGATGGATTCAATCGCTCGTACTTCCTCCAGTACGTTTCATAAATGTTTTTAACATTTAATTTTTTGCTACTTCACAGTGCTGTTCTTGCTGGTACCTCGTCGACAGTTGGGACATTCCCTGGACCTCTTATTGTTGGCACCAAGGTTGGACATTTTCTTCCCCGGTGAACTCGAGTTGACGTTAATCCTCAGGGTAGCACATTCTTCTTGAATGTAGCCGATCACCTGACCGACACGACAATGTTGAGAAGCACTAGCATCGCCAGCTTGCTTTATCTTTAGCCCTCTCATTTTACTAAACCGATGTTTTCTTAATCTATAGCATTGGCACGGCATGTTCCTGCATGGCTCCAGCTGGGCAGATGGTCCAGTTGGAGTGACACAATGCCCCATCTCCCCTGGCAACTCATTTTTATACCAGTTCTCTGTTCCTGATCAGGCTGGAACCTTTTGGTACCATTCCCACCATGTACGTTGACTGTCAACCTGATGTTCTGCCCTAACTCATCCTCACATTCTCGTTTCAGCCATGCAATATTGCGACAGCTTGAGAGGCACTTTGGTGGTTTACGATCCTTATGACCCATACAGGCATTTGTTCGTATTTTGTCCAAAATCAGCTGTTTCTTGCATCTACTAACTTTCGCCTATAGGTATGATTTTGATAATGGTAATGGCACTGTCAATTTCGGGAAATACTTGCTAATTATTCTGAAGCAGAATCAACTGTCATTACACTCGCAGACTGGTAAGAATTTCCGTGCCAAGTCACCATTTCTAAAATTAAAATTAAAGGTACCATCTATTCACTGTGAACGGGGCAACTTTTCAACCACCTACAGTACTTGTTCTTCTACAGATCCTAAGAATGTTTTTGAAATATGTAGGAATACTATGACTCAGACAACAGTAGGAGGTACCATGACATACCTACATACATCATACCCATGGCCTCATTTATATATGAAGCAAGTAAAGTGTGATTTTTTTGTCTCGAGATTTAGCATTTTATTGGTTATCATTATTATTTCTATGATGAAGATTGGATGAAGAGGCAAGTGATTCTTCAATCAACATGTCAGCATGCGGTACCTTGTTTGGCCTTGTGAGTTTTACCATACCTTAGTACGTGTTAATCCATTCCTGGAATGCTTCAGACGACATCCTTGGAACCTTTACACACGAATTTCACCTTGGAATTCAACTAAGGACATATGCCAAGAGTGGGTCTAACTCATACTCAAAGAGCGAACCTTGGTAGCACCGCTTCCACCTCCTCTAAAAGGGCTCTGTCTCAGGTTTTCTCTACTTTGTCGCTATGTCTTCTCATTTTCAATGGGGCCCACTGCTCTCACTGCTTCAAGTTGTATTGTCGCCCGTTCTCATTGGTCCACCGTGGTTGGCTTACAGGCAACATCGCTGTAAGTGCAAACTTCTTGATAGGAACTGCCAACTTATATGCAACTAGATCTGCCTGCAGCTTTGACTGGGCTGTAAGTATACATTTGAGCAGGTTCTTTCTGGTCCCAAGCTGACAGTTGTAGATTGAATCTGTAACGGGCCTGCCTCATATCTCGGAAGCGTGAATCCTTGGCGTTGTGAAGCATCTATCAGAAGACATTGGTTATCGGACTGTAGGCACCTTGGAACATGTCCTGGCAGGCAAATAACTGTGAGAAACTAGTGGTGGAAAGTGGAAGGAAGCTGGAATGTGAGGTGAGGTGTGGAGATGGGAAGGAAGTGGGAGC